ACGTGTAGATGAATCGAGCAATGCACATGCATTGTTTCGAATAAATCGCGTCTCTAGTTCCAGGATGATTCGAATGGGAACTATAAAAATTGTCGATCCACGCGTTTCAATTTTTCTAATGTTTCAATGGACGAACCGAGCAGTGCAGAAGATAAGACATTATTGTTTCCAGGATGATTCGAATCAAAGAGAATTCGGAGATCCTCGAATCTCGTTTCAACGTTCCAAACAACATTTCCAACTTACAGACAAACTGAAGCACGCAGCAGACAGCATGGCACGGTTACGTCGATTTCAACGGGCGAACGAGCATCCGTTGAACCGCTGGAAACGCGTTGCTTTGTTCCCCTCTCCCGCGACTCGCGTGCGCGACGAACAATTCCAGTATTCTTTCTTTCTTTCTTTCTTTTTTCGGTTTCGTAAGCCGCGGAACGCGATCCGGTCGCGTGCAAAACGTGAACTGTTGACCCGGCCCGGTGCCAAGCATTCGAGACCGACCGCGGAAGAGCCCGGTTGCCGCAACCGATCAGCCGAGCACAATGACGGCGGGCGACGGGATAATCATCGGTCGGACGCGTCGTCAGGTGGAGGCTCTTTTGTTCGCGGTTACGTGGTCGTCTTGGGACACGCTCGTGAATCAAACCGGGATCGGCCGCGGGACGCTCGTTCTCTCCCCGGATCGGCTGGAAATCTACCTTCTAATTGCATCTTTTAATTCCCCGCCAATTAACGCTTTGCGGTCCGACGCGCCGCGAACAATTTCCACATCGCGCCGCCGGCCCGAACGGCGTCCGCGCTCGAGAAACGAAAGTATACAACAGCCAATCGCCGGGATCGCGAGTAAACTATCGACGAGAGCTTCGACTCCGTCGGCGCGTTTTTCGATGCCCGCTCGAGTAACGGCGAACAGCGCCGAGCGAGTATACGCGCGTCGAAACGAAGAGCGCGCCGATCCCGTACAAATGGCGCCCGCTGGAACACGCGCGACAGGCACTACGGATCATCGGACTGAAATTCCGGAGGTTCGTCGGGGAAATGGAATCATCTGCCTCGGCACCGTTTTTCAACGGTCTCGTCTGAACTCGATATCCAACTAATTTTCAGCGAAAAGCACGCGTGACGAACGCTGTTCAGCCACTTAGCTTGGAATTACTTATTTCGCGCGTGATGCGACTGCTAAAAGCCGGATCTTCTCGATTGCTTGCGCGAAGAAAATATGAATATTAGATTACTGTTACACTAACGTGATTACGAGAACGAAATAGATTTATTTTCAGAAATACGCGCGGATTAGCTTCCGACCCAAGTGATTAACAACGCGAGTATGCTCGTCGTACGGACGTGCTCTTAATGTTCTACACCGTTAGCGGGAATCGGTTGGCAGCTTCCCTTTTGCGCGCGCTTCCACGATGCAAATGATTTTTGATACTAGGTAGGACAGTATCTCGTTAACCCGTTCGCTGTTAATGTGATAATCGATGATCGCAGTTAGCGATTCGCTCGGAAACAATTATACGTCTGGTAAATGCGTTTAACGGAGCGAGTTACTGGATAACAGTGTAACGGAAGAGTCTCGATATCATATAATTAACGATTGTTTCTGTTGATCCTCGCCGAGAAAGAATAGAAGATTAAACGGTCAAGATTCCTGTGCCAGTGAACGTGTTAACGAGTTCTTAACCCGGCTCTATTTGAACAGCGTTTGTAACCCGTAATAGGCTATCGGCTAAACGATTTCGAACAACAGACACCTAATCGATTTAATGACGGTATCGGCGGCCCGGAACTGGCTGGCAGTCTTTAAAAACGATAATCGAATTAGTTCCCATCGTCGCGAACAATGCATAATAGTCGAATAAGTGTATTCAGCGAGCTGCGACCCGAGCATTGTTGCTACAATGAAACCGGTACGGTTCGAAGAGTCCCGGTAAGAGGAACGGGCCAGGAGCAACGATGTGTTTCGAGCAGATCGCAGATAACGCGGCCGAGGAAACTATTGGGGAAATGATTGACCCCTTGCTCTGCGATCTATTTCTCAACTACTTTGTCGTTCACGATTCATCGAGAAGAGAAGAATTCTGAGCATATACTATGTTCACGTTTGCTCTAAGTCGTAATGATCGATTACAGAAGATTGCTGCGATTATTTGGTATCTAGTCTTCTAACGATTAGTAATTAACCGAGCAGTTGTCAATCATTTTTCTTAGGATTATTGTTTACAAATGATTAAGCTATTTTTTGATATAGTAGGGTTATCGAGGAATCTATTAATAGTTTTAGCTAAAAGGTTAATTTCAATTGGAAAGAATCGAATAACATTCTGTTTGGAATCTTCACCGCGATACTGACGCGTTATTACGAAGCAAGGGGTTAACGAATCGATAATTAGATCACCCAAGTGACCAGACCGAGGGAAAACTCGGTACGCGTCGAGAAGGCTCGCTGGAAAATTGCTTCGTGTCGCGTACGCAACAATAGCAGATGTATGCCGCGTATAACGAGCGGATAACGCGGAAGTGGCTCTTCCGCATGCAGGTACAGTTAAACAGTATGTTGGCTGCAACCGATTGCAGCGGTTCGAACGATTGCAGCTGCGGTCGCAACCGCGACCGTGCTCGCGGCTAGCCAGTGCGCTGCTCGGCCACGCTGGAAATCTGACGATTCTGCGTTCCATTCGGTTTGAAAGAAATTGTGGGATACCCTGTGTAATGTATCCCATTCTGATCTATTAATCGAACCATTTCGGAGAATACGTCGACGAAGAAAACGCATCTAACAGGCGCGTTCAACCGTTCCAACGATTCGATCGCTGTTCAGATTTTACGTCGAGAAAACCCACTGGATTCAACTGATAATTGTTAAACTTTCCTCGAAAACCCTGAAACTCGGTGGTTAACGCTCCTGTTACAATCTTTCCCTGCACGTTATACACAGGAAACTGCAATCTGAAGTTCAAGCGGAACAAACACCCCTTCGCAATTACCGATGATAAGGTAAAGTAACGAAAGGTGTCACTGATAACGTATTGGAAATCGCCTGTGAAATTCCCGATAGGAAAGTGGTGTCATTAACTGCAGCTGTCGTGAAACGGAAGAGTGTACGCGGATAAGAATCGGTGGTTCGGGAAGCGTTAGCAACATAATTGGGACCTCCGCGAGAGAGCTATTCCGCGAGCGCAAGCATAGCTTTCTCGCGGGGACTGCGGTGGATCCCGAATCCTCGGAGATTTCTATCTTCTACGTATCTGTAATAGCAGGAAAGATGCGATCGTCGGAGACCAGCTGGTATCTAAGGGTCAGGGAGGGCAGGAAGATATAATTTGAACCTCCGCGAGAGAGCTACTACGTGAACGGAACGTTGCTTTCTCGCGGGGAACGCTCGAGGACTGCTATCACCCTGATATTTCCAATTGTTACGAGTATATGATACACAACGGATAAAAATCCATCGACTATTTAGCTATTCCAATAAATTCAACGTCGAATAGCTCGACGTAGGATTGCGAACGACCGGCGACCCTCGTCGCCGGTGCGTTTTCAACGAAGCCGGCTGCAATAGTGGCGAAACGTTCGGATAAATTTCTTCCAGGACACGGCTCTCGCGCGAAAGCCTCGAACAGAACTATGACTAATAACCCAACCGAAGCGTGCGTCGTCGGGGGCCGAATGGCATCCAAGGATAAGGAAGGAAAAGGAGATCCGCGGTGCGTTCGATCGTTCTCGAATTGCGCAACAATGGCGGTCGCGCGCGACACGGTCGCTGAGTCGGCGGAAAAGTGTTCGGAACGATGGCTGGCGACAACGGAGGTCCGAGCGCGCGCGCTCGCTGCGCGATAAGCTCCGCGCTGCGACGGTTGCGCAACAGAGGAAAACCGGTGGCTGGCGACGAACGGAGAACGACGGTCGTGTCCGCTCGCTCCTCCGTTTATTCCCATTACGATTGCATCTGCCGGCATTGTGCGCCGCGGAAAGCGAGCCCGTGTCTCTTGAGAATCGGAACGCGATTAATATTACGGCCAACCACGCCGGGAGAGGCCGGCCGCGTTGCGCCACGTCCAGGCGCAACGCGCGCCGCCTCGAGATTATCGCGGCCGAGCGCGAGGACGGGAGCCTTTCGGAACGAATCGAAAACGCGAGTCGTCGCCGGAATCGAACAATCGATGCCCCGAATCGACGAACTTAGACTCGACCGATCTGGACACCGAATTTAACGCTAGAACTACCAAACGCGTGAAACCGACCTACTCATAAATTCTTCCTCGGTTATTAAAAAGAACAGACGCTCTGCGAAATTACTAAGGAAATTGATCTCTTGATACGCGAATCGAATCGTCGATTGAAATGTCAGCGTTCTTAGAGTTCCTATATAAAAATTGCTCGGTAGTTCTAGTAACGGAAACACTAGCATCCGTCGCGGGATACTTTGAAACGGAATCGAAGCATTTCAAAGATCCTCCGAGTTTCGATCGTCGTCTACCTGAAGCTCAGTTCGAAATGATAGAGAAGTTGAGAGATTTGATAGAATCGCTATCTCGGGTTAGAGTTTGGAAAGCTGAACGTCGATCGCTCTGCCGATGCGTCTACATCGACGTTATCCGTACGCCTGACGCGCACGCGAAAGAGTTTAGATAAGAACCTGCAACGTTAGCGCGAGCAACGACGAAACCGCGGCCAACGTTCTTGCGAACGATCGTTCGATGGAATCGAGACGCGAGGTAGGACGGTTTCCGGCGGCCGTGGGCGTCGTTGCGCCTCCGTTTTCCACGGTAAAAGTAAAACCCGAGCGAACACGAGCCAAGGAAACGGCGCGTGAATCCGCGCCGCGGAAGCGGACTGCCTCAGAGAAACGCGGGTGTACGGTCTCGTCTCGCGAGGCTCCTCGTCCGCGCGCGCGCGCGCGCGTTTGCTCGGCCTGGCCTGCCGAATGAGATGACGATGAGCAATGATCATTAAAGTAGGCTAGACTATATGCTGCGAGCTACGGGAAACTTCAGACTCACCCAGCTGCTTCGAGGCATACTGCTGAAGTAGACGTGTCCTTTTCTTTTCGTAGCCCTTTTGCGTTATGTCCCCTGGAAAGAGAACAGAATTAGTCAAGTTACGTGCATCGATAAACAATAGAATATTCAGTTGCAATAGAATACTCAAGATTTCAAATAACCAAACTTTTGGCAACCGAGTAATTATATTCGCTAGTAAAACGAATCGTAGAGCAACAGATTAAGAAACGAAGGAAAGAAACCTGTTGTCCCAAGGAAATCCTTATCTCAAGGTTTACCTCGGATATCTTTCCAGCCATTGTCTATAAACATAACGAAATAGTAATACTCTATAGTCTGATACAGGGGATCTACCGGAATAATTCACGCGGAAGTTGCATCGCGGTTTCGCAAGGCAGCATAGAAATCTATAGTCTGCCGAGAAATGGAATCGCTTCGAAATAGTTTACCTCGCCGCGTTAATCGAGGGTGAACTACCCACCGTGGACGGACGCTATGTACAAACTATAGCTACGGTCCATCTCCTGGATCCCGACACGCTCAGAATGTTGCGGGAACGCGCGAGGATCGCCGCGGACTGGATTATCTCGCCCTCGACCCGCCGGTTAAATAGAGAGACGCCAATTTCTCAACAAGCCGCGCTGATTTCCATCGACGCCGAAAAAGGACGCCTGCCTCTCGATAGACTCGCGCCGGTCTCGTTCAGGATAATTTGTCGCCGCATTGCGACGCGTACCGGGAGGAATCCCGAGGACGATCGGTGAACGCTCGCAGCTGGAAATCGTCGCCGGTTTCGACGATCGGAAAAGGAGACGACGACCGGCTAGGCTGGGCCGACCGAAAGGGGCACGGAGAAGCTGATCCGAGCGAGCAAATCTCTGGAGGTGCATAACATCTTCGACGCAGCGGTACAGATTCGAATCGAACACTTTTTGATCAAGGTTCATCGCGAGGCTTTTCTTCTTGTTAACGATGAAAGCACCGAGCTCTGTTGCATCGAGATCTTTCAATCGTTTCAGAGAAACTGTAAGAGTGATTTTGTTCGGATTTCAATCGACTTGTCTAGTTTGCGTATTACCTGATCGGTTAATCTAATAAGTCTTCGAATTGTGTGCTTTCAATATTGTCGCTTAGGTCTTGATTTCGTGTTTCATTTGTGAAAAGAACAGATGATTCTCCGAGGAATTATAACGGAGATCGATTTAAATCGATCGAATCGGTAGATGCATTCTGGAAGTTTCTATAGAGATTCGAAGTCGAGTTGATTAATTGATAATTGAGTCGGTAGGAAGTCTGGTTAAGAAATAAAATTGAGAAAATGAATGTCTTCTATTTGAGAAACAGATATGGAGATAGGTAAAACTCGATGATCCGTCAAGGTTGAGCTTTTCCCTGAATGGAAACGGAATTGTTCCAAGATGACGGTAACCGTGTCAAAGCGCGAAGAAGCAGAGGTTCAGTTACCGTATTAATTAAGCGATCGACGTGTTCCGCCGCCGGCCAATGACAATTAATATCATCCGAGCCGATTCTGATTCAATGATTCGACGGGGAAACTGGTTTCGCCGATCGGAATCCGAGCCGCCGCGCGGCGTTGCAGAAACGGGCTCTAATTAACTTCGGAATACTCGAAAGCACTCCGCGAGATTTGTTGAAATTCCGATATCGGCGCGACCGCTTCGAGGAATCGCCGTTAGATTCTTGATTCGCGAAAGGAGAGAAGAATGCGCTTCCAAAGGAAGGGTCGAGCGCGAGCGCGAGCGCGCAGCTTTCCGCCGGGAATCTATCTGCCCCGCGCGCGCGCGCAAGCGTTAATATTTATGACCCAGGCCGTTGGGGTTTTATGCGTTTATACCGTGGATGACTTAGCGAGATGCAAAGTTCCACGACAAAGTTTCATGGAGTATCTATTTCATTCGCGGCTAAATGGAACGTTTGAAATGTATACTCGGAAGCTCCGGAGAAATGCCGGGCCGAATGGAAGTTTCTAATCGCCTAAATGCTTTGTATTTGAAAATTTCCAATTTTCAAATGATCAAACTCTTCGCGTTTCAAATCTTCGAATCTCCTGATTCTCAACCACTCAAAGCTTCAAATTCTTAAATTCTCAACTTCCCAGATCTTCAAATTTTTTAATCCTCAACTTCTCAAATTTCTAAATTCTCAAATTCTCAAGTTCCTAAGTTCTCAACTTCTTAGATCTTCAAATTTTTTAATCCTCAACTTCTCAGATTTCTAAATTCTCAACTTGTCAAGTTTTTAATTTCTCAACTTCTCAAATTTCTAAATTCTCAACTTCTCAGATCTTCAAATTTAATTCTCAACCTCTTCCATTTCTGAATTCTCACCTTCTCAAATTTCGAAATTCTCAACCTCTCAAATTTTCAAGTTCTCAACGCCCGACACGTTCAAATGACCAAGCACTGAAATCCCGGGAAATAAACTCTCCGAACTTTTACAAGAGATCCCGGACAAGTCGGTCTAATTGGACGATAGATCTAGCGCCAACACTCGTGCAAACAGCTCCCGAAGAATGCGGCGTAAAGCATAAGGGATCGGTGCTATCCGTTTAAGAGGATCGTTCGGCGAATGTTTCCGAGGCATTCGATCCCGTGCTCGCTGCCGGCCAGCGATTCAAGGAACTATGATTAATTCCGCGAGAAAGAAACGAACGGGTTTTTCGTTCGTGAAATTCAACCGAGGGGAATACGCATTGTAAATTTGCTACGGGGCGCAACAAGCTTGCCCACGTGTCTCGGCTGACGCGAAACGAGTCGGCATGCCGGCGTCACGCCTCGTAACTCGAGAAAATGCCTAGGATCGATCGGCTAACGGCCGAGACACGATTTTTCCAGGTGCGAGAGCACCGGCATAGAACGGAACTGGGCCACGCGGTGGCATTATCGCTCGATTCGTTTAGAAAACATACGCGCTTTCGCGCGATCCTCGCATTGATCGGCAAGGGAATCGAATTAACTGAAATCTGCCCGATGGAATTTCCCCCGGGAGATGGGCGCGGTTATTTTGCATCTTAACGCGTTATCAACCGATGGGAGAATTCCCATTCCCCTTCCAACAGTTTGCCTTTTGTCTTCTCTGCTTCCTTCGTTCGTTTATCTCTTGTTTTCTTATTTCTCTCAGACAATCAAATAAACTGTTGAAACCTGTCCGTAAATCTATCAACAACGGCGACTATTTAACTGAATTCTTTCGAAAATCAGCAGATTAACACTAGAGCTACCGATCAAAATGACTCGGTTTCCTTTCACAGTGATTGACATCTTAAAAGCATATATTTCAAACATAAATAGGTTCGTATGCTACAACGAACGTCTCGAGAAACTGAAAATAATCCACTGCTACAATTTTTATAATCATTAGATATCCATCATATTAAATGCTCGTTAGTTCTATTAATTCAAAGTCCCAAGCCGATGTTTCGAGATAGAGGATGGGGCAATTGGCGCGGCGACGGTTCCACGCGAGTCCGAACGAAGGACTCCAGGCTCGGAGCGCGTCTCGGGACTGCAGCTCGTCGGGCTATCTAGCCGCTAGTTAAAATTATCGGTACGCGGATCGACTGGTCCTCCGGGCGAAGTGCATATTCCGCGGCGGTCGGGCCCACGAATGCGCACACGTCGAAGGGAATTATTGCACGGTCGAGTTATGGTCAGCGCGCGGATGAAGAATTTTTCTGCCGAGCGCGCGTGAATCCTGCGCCTATTAAGCACAAGCTGCCCGTTTAACCCGCGGCTAGGACATTGACATCGAGATAGACGATTAACCCTTTGCTCGCTGCGCGGCTTCTCTCCTGTTTACGTTGCATACGCGGGGAGAGCGTTTCGACGTTCCCTGTTCGCGAAGCGCGCGGACGTCGAAGAGGAAGAGGATCAACGGTAAATGATTCGAATAGTTCGGTGCTGAATACTTTAGCCCTTGGCAGTCCTGTGTCGAGTCAGACTCGACATTCTATTTTAACAATTTTTTCTATGTTTATTTGTAGCGTCACAACTGTACCATTTAAAGGTAACATTTCACTGACTTCCGAATATTCTTGAATAAATAAATAGAGCGTCATATTAACACGTTAAGCGCCAAATCTTAAGCATTTTCCTATAGAGTTTGTCTTTTGTAGCAAAGAAAAGAAGGAATAGTTATGAATTGTTCGGCGTTGAACCGTTGGCGTTACACTATTATCAACTTAGTTGCGTTGTTAAACATTTTTATTTCACATCGGTTACCTTGTATGTTACGATTGGTTTTTAGTCATTCAGAAGCGTCAGTCACCAGTGACTGACATGGCGCTTGACGTGTTAAGCTGTCATTGAATGAACTGTCGACGTAAACCTCAAAGTGAGAAACGAGCACGTCAAACTGCAAAGGGTTAGAGGATAGTGGTAGCTTGCTTGGTAGCAAGAATGTTTCGAGGACATTTCGATCTAACCGATTTTCCGAAAACCATGTTCTTCGAATTGTAGAGAAATTGCTTGTGGAAGAAAGTCTGTTGTGTAGAAAGAGAGCAACGCAGCATATCCAACCCCCGTACAGCCGTGAATTCCTGATTCAAACGAGAACGAACTCGTGCGGGGGACTGGCGATCGGGCAGTGTGTCGCGTCCAACGGGAAAATACGTCGAAAGAAGTGGAGGAACGTTGCCGATTAGCAGGACGTGTGCGCGCGCGCGCGCGGCGAATCGAGTCCACGCGAGACAAAAACCGCGATCGAGCCAAACCGGACCGGCTTGTTGCGTAATTAACGCCGATCGCGAGTCGAATCGGAGACAACGGAGGCGGACAGATCGATCCTCGAGGCCGGCCGGCATCTGTCGCTAGGTGGGAACGTCTCGCGGAGCGTTTGTCCGCTCGCGAGGAACGTGTTTATGCTAATTCAGGGCACTAAAACTGTTTACTCGAAGGCTCGCGGGTATCGTTCGCGAAGTTACGGTCGACGGAACTGTTCCAGGCGGCCCGAGATACTCGGTGCTTGCGCAACTAATTCGAGAGTCGATAAAAACTTAATTACTGGCGACGCAGCGGGGGACGGGTCGCCAGGCGGTTTTAAAGACGGCCCGGAGACACGTGGAAATTCCGAGTTACTGGGCCGAGTTCGCGCTCGTCGCTGATGGATCCAGCTAGGCTGGCTCTAGAAGGAATCATTCTTTCCACCCAATGGATGTAAGATTCAGAGAAAAAGGAGATACTTTTGAAAAGAAGAATAGCTTCGCGAACGTCGCATCATTCTTCAGACAATCAAGGACAATCGATCCCAACCCAAGATCAACGCAACGATCAATCGCATTCTAATCCTTACTGGGTCTCTTCCTCAAAGACGAGCACTTCCGGACGAGGAAGACCGGCTGACCGGAAGCCTTCCGCAGCTGGGACTTCCGTCTGAGAGGCCTCCGCCTCAATCCCGACCTCTGCCTCTTGAGATGCTGCTGCCTCTGCGCTGCGTGCGAACTCTTCCTCCGCTCCGCGCCGAGGCGACTGGGCTCGTCCTCGGTCTCGGTATCGGTATCAGTCGACGACAGACACCTGTAGTACGTCGCTTCCGTGCGCGACTTCTTCTCTTTGCCGATAAGATTGCCCTGTCCCTTGGACAAGAAGCTGAGAAACTGGTTGCTGGCGAAGTAGTTGGACGTGGCCGGTTGCCAGGTGGTACGTCGCGCGAGCAGCCCGCTGGTGCGCAGCTCCTCGGAGAAGAGTTTGTCCTCGTTGAAGTCGCTGATCTTCGGCGCGGTGCAGGCGGTCGCCGTCGCCGACGACGACGAGGACGTGGCCGAGAACGAGCCCACGGAGGACGAGACCAGCGAGTTCAGCGCGCCCTCGTCCCGCCTGTCGTTGAAGTCCCCGGAAAGCAGGAGCTTCAGATCGTCGAACTGGTCGTCGGAGAGGTTCGACGACCAGTCGTCGATCCTCTCGATCACCGGGTCCTCCGTCTCCGGGAAGTACCTGATCTCCCGCCAGACTCGTCGCTGACGACGCGATCGCCGCCTCTCCGGCGGTACGAACCACACCGGGCTGTTCGAACGAGTCGGCTGCTGATGCTGCTGCTGTTGCTGCTGCTGCTGCTTCTGCGTCTTCTTCGTCCTCTGCGAGGTCCGCTTCCCGCGGCGCCGAGAGCTCGACCGCCTCGAGGCGTTCGTCCGCTTGAAGTAGCCGTCCGCGCTGACGCTCGGCGCCGGCTTCTGCGCTCGACGATTGAAGAAGCCGTTCCTCGTGCCCCTGTAGCCACGTTACACATTCCATTTCGATTCGAACGCGAGTCGAACGATGAAATTGGCCGGACCGAGAGTGTTTTCGCGGTTCCTTTGAGAAATCACTACGTTAGCCGTCCGCGCGTCTGCCGGACGATCTCCGATCGAATCGAAAATTCAATTTCCTCCCCGCACTCCGGAACGCGCACAGTCATCCTCGCTTAATAGACGCGTTTTTCCCCGCGCAATCGATGCACAGTCGCTCTCTCGCCGGTTCGCAGAGTGACTCTGATCTTTTCCCTCGATTCCATTCACACTGGACGTGCCTCACTCTCGATGCCACTGGAGAAGCCTACGTCGATTAAGCTAGGATTACCGCGTTCACTGAACGTCCCGTCGCGAACTGAATTCCCCATTCGATCGCGCGGACCGTCCTCTACTTTCCTTCGAACAAGAACGAGACTGGTTTCCCCCGAGAGAGGGGTTCCACGGAAATTTGAAAACAGACCCGGCCAGCGAAGCAATTTCATCGTCGACGAGAATAGAACACGACGGATAACAACCCTGCACGAAAGTCGGCCAGCTTGGCGATCCTGAGGGAGAAGCCGAAAGCGGACGAGACATCCTTGCCGGCGACGGTCTTCTCCGGCGCGGAAACGGTCCTGGCGACCGTGGGCTGAGGTTTCCTCTCCTTGAGAGCGCTGTCCAGCGAATGGTGGACCGACGGGCCGGAGGGGGAAGGGTAAGGGACCGGCACCGCGTCCCTCCAGATCCTGCCTAGGCTGATGCTGACGCTGGGGGGTCCTTCGACCGAGGGCTCCTGCGCCTGCAGAATCTCTTGCTCGCCGCCTTTCTCCTGGACAGCCTCGTTCGAGGCGCGGAACGGTTTCGAGGGCAAGACGGGCGACGCTTCCAGCTCGAGGACCTTCAGATCCTCGGCCACGTGGTCGGCCGCCTCGCTCGACTTCTGAGAGTTCGCCGAGAGCCTGCTGTTCTTGTTCCTCCCCTGTTGCTGCTGCTGCTGCTGCTGCTGCGACTTGATCTGCGGCTGATCTTCGTCGAGCTTCTCCCGCGATGACGAGCTGACGCCCTGCAGCCATTCGTCGTAGCTGATCGACTCGCGGCTCAGAGTATCGTCCTGCAGCTTCTTCGGTTTCAGCTGCTCCTTTATCGAGACATCGTCCTTCGCCGCGATGCTCTTCGGCTCCTTTTTAATGATATCCTCCTTGATGATCGTCCTCTCGAGCGGCTTCTCGTTGTTCGAGTTCGGATCGACCGCGAGCGGCACCGTCGGCTCCAGGCTCTTCTGAAGCTTGTTGCGCCGCTTGCCTCGGTCCAGGTAGCTCTTCCTGATGGATATCCGCTTGAAGGACTCGCTGCGCTTGAAGGACGGCTCGTTACGGTCCTTCTTGCGGCCCACGAGCCTCCTCAAGTTCTCGAAGGACAATGGCCTCATGGGTTCGGCCCTTCGTCGCTCAGACGTGTCCTTCCGCTCGCGTCACCGCGTTTCTGCCATTCGGAGAGCCGTTCGCGCGTCTCCGGGACTTTTTCTTCGAATACGGAGATCTCATGTGTGCGGCGAGCCTCGGCGACCGAACGGAAACGAGAACCTCGAATTCCTCAGGCGACGTCGTACCGGAGATCGATCGGTTTCCGCTTTCGGTAAATTCGTTGGAGACCGGTCGTCCCGATTGTTTCACCGAAGACAACGATCCTGTATCTCGTCGGAGCCGACCGCGCCGCGGTACATTCGTTGCAATAAATTTCGAACCGATTCCCCCGTATTATTCGGACATCCGACGAGTTATCGGCCGGTGGGATCGAATCCGAAAGAGGAGTCGGCCGAAGGAGGATTCCTCGCGGATCGGGGACTCGATTCCGGCCCTTCGAGCGAGCCACGCGTCCTCCCGGAGTCCTTCTAACGCGAGAGAGACCTCGCGAGCACTCTCCGCACTGGTTCTCCAGCCGTCTCTCTCTCTCATCCGCTCGTATCGGCGCTCGTTCCTCTCTCGATCCCGGTTCTCCAGCGAGCGGGCGAGCACGCTTGCGCGTTTCTGCGATCTTAAGGTGCAACACCGAGGCCTTCCAGTCGCGAATCAACGTGGCTTTCCTTTTTCGACGTGCCGTGGCCGCGCCGTTCCTCCTCCTTCTTCTTCATCGCCCTTCTCCTCCCTTTTCTCCTGTGCTTCTGCTGCTCCCGCTACCGTGGTCGCTTTCCTTCCCTCCGCCCTGCGGCCAGCCAGGATCCTCCTTCGACAAAAACCGATTCGGCACTCGGCTTGCCGCATGGAAAACGACGTTAAGCGCGATTCGCGACGATGTGCCGCGTTTCAGCGTGGAATCATCTTCCCCGGTTGGTTCCGCGTCCAGGGAATCCGATTCACATTGCAACGTTGTCTCGCGGCTTCGAAAGTTAATGATGTTATATCAGCCGTACACAGCTCCGGGCGGATCTATCCGGGCCCCTTTTGTATTCTTTCCCCTCGAGAACACGACGCGTTTCCGTTCGCGATGATCGCCGACTTTTCGTTCCGTCGATTCCGTTTTTCGCGAGCCTCCGGCACTGTGTCCAATGGATAAACTCGACGCGCGGCAGTCTCGTTTCTAGCGACTGGTTTTAGTCACTTTCTCAGAGATTCGATCCGCCGAGCGGGCCGCGATACCGTTCTCCGTGCACGCGCCTCCTTCGAAACTATCTCGGATCGCTGAGAAGATCTTGGACGATACTTTCTCCGCCCTCGAACGATTACGACACCGATTTCTTCGGCCTCCCCTCGTCCCGCCGCCCAAGGCTCGTCCCGTGTTTATTATTTCGAGGCGGCGGGAAACGCGACGCCGCCACGGTACACCGGCCGATCGAAAAATCGAAACTGCACGATACACGTTGCCAACGTTGCACCACCGTAGAACCATCAAAACGTGACGAATCGCAACCAACACGCTCCTTCACGTCTTTCACGCGATGCACCCGCGTATCGGACTCTGGCCAGTCCTTCCTCCGAGGATTCTCGTCTTCGTGGAAGACGGTTCGTTCGATCGGTCCGTGAACCTCACGCAACACACCGGGGTCTCACTGGAAACACGAAGGAACCGCGGTCACACGGGTCCGCCTCGGTGGCACGCTCGACGCACCGCCATTTTTGGGGAACGCGAAATCTCCCGGCGCGGTGTTCGCCGCTGGATTCTTTCGATTCTTTTCTTTCGCCGATTAGAGGAGTCTTGTTTCTCGGGTCGTCGGAGTGTTAGCCGTTTCATAAATATTCATGGAACGTTGCTGAATCGCTGCACGATTTCTACGGATTTATAGCAATCGCACGAAAGTCGTTAGAGCAGAAGTTTCAACGGAAACGTTCGTTGCGATACCGGATTTCTATCGTAACTCACTGTTGTAGCCGATCGTTTTTCTCTCTTTTTTTTTCTAAACGAGAATACACCGTCCGCGGTTCATTAATCTGGTACGATCTCGTTGTCCCGCGTCGCGGTTCGAATTTCGATCACCGGCGTTAAGCGAAATTTCACTTTGTCAAGGCAGAGGGGATCGCGCGAGGGGCTGCACGGTTCATCGAACCACCGGTGAAAAATAGCGCAAAGCGAGCCCGGTTATCGGATTACATCCACGAGGTTTTAATAAGGGGCAATTCCATGGTCAATTAACAGGAACTATAAAGAGATAATATAATGCGCTCGCCGGGCTAGGCGATAAACGGTATCGTGACTGAAAAGCAGAAACAATTTCGAGTGGACGCTTTAAGTGAAAGGTCTAGTGGCGTCGATGGTTCGTAAATAAAGCCGAGATTTCAACCGGCACGAAAATTTATGCCCCGCGATAATACGGTCGAGCCTCTAACACGAAAATTCCTGTAACTCGTCGAGTTTCTTCGCTCGTTTCCACTCTTCTGTGAAAACCTCCGCAACTCGAAGCGCGAGGACTCTATAACTCGATTTTTCGTCTGTAAAACCTTTTCTCGTGATAATAATCGAACTTGAAGTTACTAAGTATTGCTCGGTGGAAGAGTATGTATCGGAAATTTGTTGTCGTCGATGGCCCAGTCGTCGACATCGGCCAGTAATCTGAACGTTTGCGTCGACCGGCGTGATTTCGCGTTACGCTTGCTCCGTGCACATTCACGACGACAGGGAGGACGTCGCGTAACATCGCGCCACTCTGATTCCGGTGAAACTTTATGCGCAGGCGGAGAGGCCTGCATCGTTGGACCAATGTTCCACTGTTTTCCCGAGTAAATAGCGGCTCGTGGGACGCGGTCGACGTCTTTGAGCGAGGCGAATGAAATTCTACAAGTTTACGCGTACGTTTCGCTGCGTCGATTGTTGTTGCGTACGCGAAAAGAAAATTTTCCTAGGTGTAACTCGCGAAAACAGCGAATTTCCTTTGGTAGAAGCTTATTTCCCGTGTCAGCTGCTTCGATACGTTCACTCGACGCGTGAATGATATTAGACTGAATTTTTATATGCAATCACGCTTACGATTTTCGAATCTTTTTCATCTCGACCGAGCTTCGTTGCGCAACAGAGCTCTTTGTAGTCGACAAGTCGGCTTGGAGCATGGAAAAGATTACTTGATTCTTCGAGAAGGAGTACTATCGATAGAACGGTCGAGATTATCAAAGAACACGAGTTTCCACGAAAGTTAGCGAAAGATCCAAGCGATCAGACGTGTATCCCGAGGCACAGAGATCGACGCGAGCAACGAAACACTGGTCCAATCCCGCTCGGCTCCTCCACCTACCTGCCGCGTTCCTCAGAAATCTCTGGAGCTCGCGTAATTCCCCGGCGAGGGAGTCGCGCCGGTTACAGGGTCCTCTTTCACTCGAGCAGCTTCGATCTCGCGTTCACGTAAATCCAAGGTTCCGACGCGCGGCGTATCCTTCCCGACACAAGACTCGTATCGTCCTCTAACCTGGACGCCACTTTTCGGCGTCCCCCCGAGCCGAATAATCCAGCGCACGTAAACACCGCGTCTATCGCGAGATTCGAATGAAAAACTGGCGAGAAGGACCGATGGAGGGAACCACGGACAGAGTGACGTTGCTCGACGGTTGGAGAACGCGAAGGAAGCAAAGGGAGCAAGGGAGCGAGAGAGAGAGAGAGAGAGAGAGAGGAGGGATAGCGGGAACCTCGGTCCAGGATCAGCGAGAGGTGGTACTGCAGCAGTGATGGACCTTGAAGCATCTCGAATCGGTTCGAATCTGTGAAAGATGCGAATCGCAGCGAGTACAATTCGATTCTATGAATCTCACGAACGTCCTGCAAGGAGACCCTGAAGGTGCCGAAGCTAGGTGTCCAGTTGCAATCGATTGCTCCGGAAAGAGTCTCTCGCTATCCACTTGCGAGAAACGCTTCCTAGAGCAGCTCGCGGCAGCTACTCGGAAAAGGACAGCTAGCCATCAGGCTCTGAAACCTTCTCCAACTCTCCTCAGCATCACAGTGTCGGTGATCGTCTCCACGTTCGATCGCACCGGTAGCCATCCGCGTCCGCGGAACTCGCCGACGCGAACAACAAGCACAAAACTCCCCTGAAATCTGGCCAAGACCTTCGATAGATCCATAGAACGAGATCACGCTCGCAGCGATTCGACTTTCCACAGCGTAATAAAAACCTCCGGACAGTTTCAAATGGCCATCACCGATCCGCAGCTGGTCCCCGTCACTAGTGTCGGTACCAAGTATACTCGAGGAGACGCGGGTCGTCGCGACGCGGGTCCACCCTTATCAGAGTCGGCACGTAGGACCGGGGAACCAGCGAGGCGGCAGCAGGCAAGAAGCTGGCGGTCGTCGCAGCCAGCGAGGCAGGCAGGCAGGCGCGACGGCGGCGGCGGCGGCGGCGGCAGCGGTGGCAGCGGCGGTGGCGGTGGCGGTGGCGGTGGCGGCAGCGGCAGCGGCGGCGGCGGTTCTCCGGTCCCCTCGTCTCGCGAGGAGAAAAACTCTCGTAGTGCGCGTAGCTGAAGTCGCGTCGAATCACTGGCATTTCGCGAGCTCTCGACGCTGCCGCTGCACCTCTCCCTGACTCACGAGACGAGAACCACCACGGACTCGACCAAACACACACCGACCGACGGAGCGAGCGAGTCGGATAGAGGAGAGGGAGATACGGGGAGAGGGAGAAGGAGAAAGAGAAACAGGGAGAGCGAGAGAGAGAGAAAGGAGCAACGGTGCGGCCTGGGAAGCAACGGGCCCCCGCGAATAAAAGTCACGCCGCGAGACGAGGACGGACAGAGAGGAGAGGGAGGAGAGAGAGGCGAGGAGCTGGTGGTGGTATGCCGTCCGTCCACTCTCGCCGGCACAACTCGCCGGGCTCTCCTCTCTCTGGCTTCTCTCCTCTCTCGCAGCATCCCATTCTCCTTCTCAACCTCTCTGCTCCCTTTCCAACCTTCTCTAGCCTCTCCTCTGTCTTCCTCCGCGTGCCCTTCGTTTTCTCTCTCGCGTCTCCCTTTCCAACTGGCCCTCTCTCTCTCTGTCTCTCT